AAATTATCAAGGGTTCATAAGGGAAGGAGGGTGAAGGAGGAAGGGGGAAAAATGAGAAGCTGATACCAAGGGCCCAAGTAGAAAGAAAATGTTTTGAAAATGATGATGACAACATGTGTACAAATGTGCTTGACACAATGGATGGATGGATTGTAGTAAGAGCTGTACGAGCCCCCAATAAAATGATTAAAAACAAAAAAAAAAGAATACAGAGAAGGTGAGCACTAGGTGTCCAGTGAATGGGCTAGCAATGAGAAGCAATGATACCACAGAATGTATCAGAAACATGGTTACCTTGGAAGGAAGGAGTTTACACTGGAACTATTACGAGTGTTGTAATCAGACCCCAGGTCCTATCCCCATGACAAGTCTGTCTCACATAAGAATGTTTGCCCTTCACCCAGTTTGCGGAACACTATGGATGACAGAAGCCCAAAATCCATTTGCAGGGTCCCTAATGGTTGAGTCCCCGGTGAATCCCCATTTGCCCACAGACAGGAATGTAACAGCCCCAATATCAGACAAAGAGCATTGTAAGGAGGTTCTTAGGAATTGTACTTGGGTGTAGACCTTGCCCATAGAACTCCCTTTAGACTCACTTTCAATTTATCCTAAATTTTAAATATTGTTTGCTTCTCCTTATATTGAGGTCTTTCACTGTTTTATATAATCATTGTTGCTAGGTCCCTTCACACACACCCCCCCTCACCCCCGTTCTTTGTCCTTGTTTGTATGTTTTTCTGTATAGAGAAGCCAGGATTTATGGAGATAGTAACTGAAATAATAATGGAGAAAGTAACTGAAGGAGGAGAGGGGGGAAATGGATGTCAATAGCAATGGGTACAAGTAGGAAGAAAATGTCCCAAAGTTGATTGTGGTGATGACTGCACACCCCTTCTTATATGAATGGAACTACTGAATTGTATGATGTGTTAATTATAGCTCAACAAAACCGGGGTGCAGGGGGGCATTGTTTACTCTTTAGAGTAATTAAACCAAAAGACCTAGGGACTCTGGCAGGCAGCTAGCTATAGAGTGGTAGATCAAAATGAAAATTTACATACTAACTGGCAAGACTCCAGCCCATTTTTCCTGCTAATTCCCAGAATTCCAGCAATCAGACACCCTGCCACATCCCAGTCCGGGGGGTGCTATTAGAGGACTCACCTCTAGAGAGACCTCAGTGGCACCAGTGAAGAGACCCACAGGTAGAAGCCCTCAAACGAAAATGCTAGTTCACTACCTCATTTGATTACCTTACAGTAAAAGCCACCAGTCTACAAGCCCTGCCCGTGGATATAGAGCATGCAATTGGTACCAGAAAGTAGGGGATGAATTCCTAAGATTAAGTAATAAAATAATATATTATATAGTAATATAAGGTAGTGACTGACTACATGTTGAGAAAGTAAAGAAGTTAGCCTAGAATGGCTTTCATGTTTGTATTTGCATTATGCTTACCATCTATCAGGATAAGGAATAATGAAAGAGGAAGAGGCTTCCAATGGTAAAATGAAATGGTTTTAGGACATGTGAAGCCTGAAGTCCTATAGGACATCCAGGTAGATTTACATGTTCATCTAAAAATATGTATATGGAACTTAAAAGTGAAGGTTAGATGAGAGATAGAAAATTGGAATCAAAGCTATCTTTGGTGATAGTTGAAAATCTGGAGTAACAAGATCTCCCAGGTTCAGGGTTAGAAATAAGAAGTCAACTAAGAAAATCTTAACAAGTATTAACATTTAAGATAATATTCTGAACAAAATTGAGAAAACAATGTAGGTGCTCATATATCAAAAGGCACCACAAGGTCTTTTAAAAATATATATATACACATTTAATTTTCTTAAAACCTGCAGACACATTTTTTTTAAGAACGATTATCCTAAGTACTGGGAGGAGAAGGTGGTATGGAGAAAGTATGTAGCCGAAACCCAACTTCCCCAAGCAACCCATTATATGAGTCTCTTACTTTTCCGAAGGACGAAGCTCATGGATAACTGCCAGGAGCTTGGACAACACCTGCAGTTTCCCCGACTCCCCCTCGGCACACGTGAGGGGACTGTAGTCATTGGGGAACGCAGTGCGCAAACCTTCATACAGGTGCCTGTCTTCATTTCCATCACAGGTTGAGCTACATTCTTTTTCCTGTTCAAAAGAATTTGAACATTGATTCATGTTTGTTGTTTTAATGGGAAGGAAAAAATGCTAAAATTATTTGACTGAAAAATGTGGCACCTCAAGCGAATTATATCCCTGGATATACAACTAGAAGAGATAGTTGCTGGCTGCTGCAGGTTAGGCCTGCTAAATGCCATCACTTAGGAAGGGTCATCAAAAGGTCACACACTTGACCATAAAGAAATTCAAGAGAAGTGACTCATACTAGCCAAATCAAATTAAGATGCTGAATACTAATCCAGAATGAAAATGTACTGACTCCCAATTGAGTGCAGTTGACCTATGCATTCTGTGCTGTGAAGAAGGCTCACAGGAGAAGCCAAGGTTGCTTCAAACTCCGAAAAGCAAACCCTGCCATCAGGTCAATCCTAAGTGCCCCTGTGGGTTTCGGCACAGGAATAGTCGGTCTCCTCCTTCTCCCAAGGAGCACCTGGGGGTTTGAATTTGCTGATTTTGTGGTTAACAGCCCAACACAAGCTCCCATACCACCATGAATATTAAACAGAGTACAAAAGACATGAGTAATGTTAAGGTACAAATTCTTAACCAGCACATATTATCAGAATCTCTTGGGGAATCTTTGTCAAAATCCTCATACCTGGGTCCCACTCTCAGATTCTGGTAAATAGGTATGTGGGGAAGTCTCAACAAACGTAGTTTTAAAGCTTCCAAGATCATACTCCTTTAATTAAGAATCAACTAATGGATAATGGCATTACCCATGAAAGCCTGTTAAAAATCAGACTTCTCAGGGCAATGAATGTACAAATGTGCTTTACACAATTGATGTATGTATGGATTGTGATAAGAGCTGTATGAGCCCCTAATAAAACAATTAAAAAAAAACTCAAAACCAAAAAACAATAATAATAACTTGGACTCTAGACCCTGTCCTGTAGTACACAGCACACTTCATAGACCATACCAGAAGGACCCAAATTGAAACCCCACTAAGCAAACTGGACTTTACTTTAAACTCACGAATAACAGAACCAAGGAATGAAAATACTCCTTTAAACTTAAAGGTGAATTGCCCTAGTGGAAGAATAAGCAGGTGATCACTATCCCAGGATTAAAGAATTGATGGAAGTTGGAAAAAAAAATCAGACTTCTCATAAAAGCTAAGCAGAGTACCCTTTCTTCTGACCTAGGCAGACATGTCAGACCATATAAACCAATACAATATCCTTAGGTTATGATTTCTTTTATTGGTTACATTTCATTCACATTTCTTAATAAAGAATCCTGGGAACACATTTATAAGCCACTGCTTAAAGGTTACTTAAGGACCCCTGGTAGTGTAGTGGTTAGTAGTTGGGCTGCTAACCGCAAGGTCAGCAGTTCAAAACCACAAGCTGCTCCTCCAGAGAACAAGTCTTCCTACTCTCATTGAGTTACAGTCTTGGAAACTCAGAGGCAGTTCTACTCGTCTTACAGGGTTGCTATGAATCAGAATCGACTCCGTGCAGTGAGTTTGTTTTTCAAACATATGAAAGGCTTATTTTGGGCATTTTATAGTCATTTTCGTTTTTGTGATATTAGAGGAAAGCCTTTTCTGAAGGAGTCTGTAAATATTCACCCAACTTGAAGCTTACAGTGTTCTATATCTACTACTAATGGACATACATCAACAATGGAAAAACTCGAGTTCTCAGCTGTTTTCTTCAAGAATGTGCAAGTATTTTCCAAGTTAACTGATCCACTCTGAGCCATCACAAGACTTTCTTTTAAGAAAGAATTTTTGGCTTCTGTTTTTCCTGGGCATCATGCCTAAAAGGTTTAACTTTTATTATTGTATATAAAATCTGTCTTAAAATGGTGCTTCGTACATTGTTATAGCACTGTCTACTGCAGTTACAGAATGTTGATTTCTATGATAAACTAAGTAAATGCAAGTCATTGTGGGATAAGCTTGGAAAATGACCTGAAGCATAATATACTTGAAAATGTTATTACTTGAAAATTATTTTACTGTTTTAACAAATATGTAGCAGAATAACAGCTGTTTAGGATGAGTTGAAGATAAAGAACATTAAGAGTTACTGTGCAATTTTTATGATCAGGTATTTTCTAGGTTCTTGCCAAATTATGCCATCAAACTGTCACAAGAGCATTATCAGGAAGTTACTACTGTCTGTGTTTCCCAGATAAGAAAACTAAGCCTCACAAATGTACCTCATCTGTGGTTAAAGAACTATTAAGTAATAAAGTGGTGGCTGGAACCACGATCTAATTCCAAAGCATAAACCTCTTTTTATACTCCAAACTGCCTTCATGCCATTAAATATCCAAATAGTCAACTCAACTGTGTAACCATTAAAAACCACTAAAAATCATACTTTCAGAAGGTAACTTATGTGGGGAAAAATTTTAGAATATATTTGGGGGGAGAAACGAGGCGAGAATAATAGCATTTTTAAATAGTATGAATATTCGAATTATTATTAAAATGAAATTTCTCTCATACTCACTGCCATTTAGTCGATACCAACTCATAGTGACCCTTTAGGACAGGTTAGAACTGCCCCTGTGGGTTTCCGATGCTGTAATTCTTTACAGGAGTGGAAAGCCTCATCTTTCTCCCATGGAGCACCTGGGGGTTTCGAACAGCTGAACTTGCGAATAGCAGCCCAAGAAATCACCACTACGAAGTGGCCATGCAGCATTTTTAAAAAAACACAAAAACAACCACATGGATTAGCATCATCTTCTCTCCATGATTAGAACACAGAGCCGTCCTCTCATGGCCCTTGCCTGGTCTCGTGTGCCACTTACCTTTATAGACTTGAACAAAAGGCAGGGATGGTTGCACAGTTTTTTCAGAGCTCCTATACATATTAGATGAGAGCTATTTTCCAACAGTCCTTGAAGACAGAAACTGACAGCCTTTGAATTCAACAGCTTTCGATAAAGTTCAATCTGCAGTGGTCCTGGTTGGCAAAAGACCACATTCTCTATTTTAGGTGGAAGGTACTTATTTATGACTTCCTGGGTCCTTCTAAGGATAAAGAGTCCAGTGAGGCGAGTAAGTTCCGCTGCTCTCCTCTCTCCGAAATTCTTTTCCTCCTAGGGAAAAGTTGAGAAATGTTTTCATTTCAAATTAACATTAAATATTTTATAACGACAAATCACTTACTAATTGCTCCTCTTACAAATTTTTTTTTAAACATAATAGATAAAACACAATTTGAGGATGGAAAAAACCAACCACAAGCTCATTAACTGCTCAGCATACCATTCTGTTAGGGGGGCCCACCATTCCCTAATCTTGGTGGGTTTGGCTAATGCTTCCATTGAGAACCATCAGAAAGGAGAGATCTACACAGTAAATTACTCTAAAAGGAAATTTTTATATGAACGCTGTATTGGCAGATAATTTTAACATCAACAGTAAAGAATTGGCACAGCAAATTTTTGGAATCCAATAAACTGACAACATTGATTTTCAAACTAAGCCTTCAATTATTGACAAAAGGCATTATATATTGTTTATAAATCATTTTAAATTGCTCATTAAATAATACATTTTCTAATCAAAAATAGTGCATGAATTAAATATATACATTTGAACTGTCCACATAAATCCTTTTGAGATCACAGCAATTCACAGTAAGGCTCAAAATAAATTGTGTATGTATTTGCATATACATATATTTTACTACTTATTAAAGTAAGTTATACCTCAGAAGCAGAAGGGTCTCTTGATATAATGATAGGTTCTTCATATATTTTTCTGTACGATGACAAAGTACCTAATATGCCTGGATTTACAAAATCAATTAATGCAAAAAATTCCTGCAGATCATTTTGAACGGGAGTACCTAGAAACATGAAAATGATAAGAAAGTCAAGTTTGTGTTTTCCAATCATAAGTCTTTCTAATTGTAAATTAGAATTTGTCAATTCATTGTAAATTCCTTACAATGAAGCATATGCCACCAAATTAAATTGGAGAGGATAAAAATTTGAATGATTACATGAATGTTTTAACTCTGATTTTAATCGTGTACTAAATTCTTATTAATGTACTTAACTCTTACTAAATTCTTATTGAAAACAGTATACAGGCTCTTGAGTCTGATTGTTTGAGTTCACATTCTGCCTCTGTCATTTGCCACCTGGGTTCTACTCTGTCCTACAGGGTGGCTATGGGTCAGAATTGACTCATGACACTACACTTCTCTGCTGACTTTAGTAACCCAATTATGTCTAAGAGGCTGAGGATTGGAGACAAGCTTGGATGCTGAGTGAGGAATAAATGACTGTATCCTGACTGTTTGCTGATCGTGACTTACAGATTTCCCTAACACGCCCCCTTAATTGTGAGTATTATCTGTGAGTTCTGTGTCACCATTGCAACAAATTCTCTAACACAGAATAGATGTAGAGTGGCATGGGAGGAATGGCTGGTGTCAAAATAGGTAAAGATGGTTCCAGTATGGAGTCATGTCTTGCCTCGTGGCAAGAGGAAGGCCAGGGGAAGTCAGATATGGCCACCTCCGTTGCCATTTATTGCAATGGCTCAAAGAGCTCACAGAACAAGGGAACTAAAAGAATGGAATTTTCCCACGAATTTTTTGAAGGTCCCTTGAATTTACCCAATGTTCATTTACCTTACCAAATAGTCTGTGCCAGAAGCTTTGGCCAGCAATGAGCCAGGGATCCCTGGTATAGTCATATAAAAATAAATGACATTTATTACAGACTTAGGTAGATAGTTTTCCAAGAACTTTACATGGTTTAACTCCTTTGGGCCTCAAAATAACCCTAAAGTTGATGGTATTATTGTCATAAATTCACAGGTGAGGAAGCACAGTTAAATAAGGCACCCAGAGTAACACAGTTGGAGAAGTCAGGATGGCGAAGCCAGTACAGGCATTGCAGCCCCAGCTCCCACTTTCATAAACTTTATACCATTTGTAGTTCTTCCTCCAACCTCCACAACTCACTTGCCTCAAGTCAATCCCCACTCACAGTCACCCCAAAACCCAAAATCTAGGTTGCTGGAAATTACAGAAAGAGCTGAAGATTCTGAATTCCACAAAGACTCAATTAACACAGCTCCATTACTATGAAACTGGTATTAATATCAAGTGTCGTATTCTGAGTCTTATATATTCGCTAGACAAAAACTCCATCAGATACTGGAAAAGGAAATACTGACCAGTAAGAATTATTCTTTTCTCACAAGAGAGGCTAATGAGAGCTGTAGTTGTCTTAATAGCACTGTTCTTCAAACGATGCCCTTCGTCACAGATTAGAAGATCAAATTTTATGTTCCTAACTTGATCCAGGGAGCGAAGTAACATTTCATAACTGATGATAAGAACAGAATATAATGGAGATATGATGAATTCTTCTACCTTGTGGTCCTTAAAAACAGAACAAAACAAAGAAAATCTTCAATAAGAAACTGTGTGTAATCAACATGAAGCAGCATATTCCTGATAATCACTTAACAAGAATATGTTATCTTTAGACCAAAATGTAAGCCAGGGTTCCGTTTTTGTACAAAGGAGTTAGAAAGCTATCTACACTGAAGAAGAAAAAACAATACAAAAAACTGCACCTAGAGAGTGAAAATAGCAGTACTGATTTGCAAAGTTTGTGATTTACAAAATGACCATGAGTAAAATTTTAAAACCCTCTTACCTGATCAACAGTAAATATCTTGATCCTTTCACTTCCCAGCCACTTTTGAAATTCCTTCCCCCAATTATTCACCAAGCTTCCAGGGGTAACAATCAGTGTCTTCTTTATGACTGGCTTGCCTCCATAGGGCCCCTGGCATTGTAGAGTCCAGATGAGGGAAATACATTGCAGTGTTTTTCCTAAGCCCATTTCATCAGCAAGAATAGCTCCACATTTGCCACTCATTCTGTTAGAGATAATTGTACTTCCTTTAATCACAATGGAAAAACATTTCATGCTCCTAAAATCATCACTACTGGTCAAGAGTCAAAACTGGTATTTTACAATTATGATCCATGCTAGCCTGCATTGGATGATTTTTTTCTAGTTTTTAAACCCGCTGATTTACAAGGCAACTCTCTTTTGTATCTTTAATAATTACATTTATTATATATTGGCAGCTAGAGAGTTGAATCTCAATCATCAGCTAAATATTTTATGGATATATTTAGAGGCACATGAAACTAATCTCAAATTTATATATTTGGATAATTAAGTTATAACACTTATTCTTATCACTAATAGTTGACAGCTTTAAACAGTTTCCATGATACCAAAGCAATTTAAAATACAATATGACTTTAACTAACGTAATCTACTGAGTTGTATTTATGATTCTCTGACATTAATTGAAGTCCTCAGCTTAAATATCCTGTGCACTGTAGCCAAAATTAGACACTGAAAATTTTATCTACAATACTTAATTTAGTAAAAATCTGTTATCATAAGATGAAGCTAATATTATCTGAAATTAAACGTTAGGAATATTAATATAACCATACATTTTAATATTTATATATTTTACCACTTTATATATATTTATTCATACATATATCCTTAAATATATAAAGTCCAAGGGAATTAATTACCAAACACAAGTACCTTATCAATTGATTGTATTCCTTAATAGAAAAAAATAAAAGGCAAGTTCATATTTTTTCTATTTCAAAGTGCTTAGGAAAATTTACAAACATGAATTATAATCACTATTATAATTTAAGACCAACAATGTGCCAATGGTGTTGTTAGCTTCCCCAGATCCTCTATGTGGTAGTTACATAATCTGGTGTCAATTTGAGGGTTCAGAGTGAAGGGGTGAAGTCTAGCCTGTCTATCAGGTCATAGCCAATGAAGTCTCTGTGTGGGCATGGCCTTCTCAAAGGATTTTGGGAACTCCTGTATTCCTCGTTGGAGGCTGGAGACACTCTCTCAGCTCACTCCCTGCGAGACATCCCTGAGGAGAAGACACATTGAGAGAGGCTGATGGAGCCAGCCAGTCACATGGAGACCCCTGCCAACACTGAGGTGCTGATAGTGCCACTGGATCCACAAGACTTCCCACCCACTGGCCTGTGATCTTCCTGCATTCAGTGTCATTCCATGTGTTTCGTGAGTTTCTTAACTGTTGTTTCCATAGGTGTTGACTATTAATCCAAGTAAAATGAAAACCTTGACAATTTCAATATTTTCTGTTTATTGACATTGTTTATGGGCCCAGTTGTAAGAATTTTTGTTTCCTTTACATTAAGGTATAAACCATAGTGAAGGCCCTAATCCTTGATTTTCATCAATAAACATCTCAAATTCTCTTTTGTGCACTATAACAAAGATTGATAACTTCAGTCTTTTCTTGGTTTATCATGGCATTAAGGGTCCAGTTATAAGGATTTTGGTTTCTTTTATGTTAAAGTGTAATCCATAGTGAAGGCTGTAGTGTTTGATCCGCAGCAGCAAGTGCTTCAAGTGCTCTTTACTCTTAGCAAGCAAGACTGTGTCGCCTGCAGGCTGTTAATCAGTCTTCCCCTAATTCTGATGCTGTATTCTTCAACGCATTGTCCAGCTTCTCTCAGATTATTTGTATAGGTATGGTGAGCGGATAGAACTCTGATGCAGACCCTGTCTGGTTTTAAGACAGGGCCAAATAGCAGAAAGGAAGTTCAGATTTGGGAGAAGAGATAACTCTAGTTAAAGTTTCTATAAGATATTAGCCCTCAGTCTGTCATCATTCCAAAAGTTCTGAGAGTTTGGGGAAATCTACAATTCCAAACCATATTAAATAACAGATTTAAAAATAAAGGACCAATACATTTAAAATCAATATGAAACTAAAGCCAAAAAAAATGACTGGCAGAAAACTTATAAACATGTTAGCATGAGCCTTTGCTTATTTTTTTCTCCTTTGTGTGTGTGTGTGTGTGTGTGTGTGTGTGTGTGTGCGCGCGTGCGCGCGCACAAATGTCTTCAATAATATCTTTAAAAGAGGATACTGGCATTCTTTAATCAAACACTCAATTTAAAACCCCTGGACTTTAGAAACAGTGGCAAGATAAAAAGAAAACCTTTCCCCCAAATCCTCATAAGCAGAATGAAAAGCTCCTTCCATTTTGTTCCCATAACCCTATGTCACACTAGCACTGAGCTCATTTTATACTACAGCGCGACTGGCTGTATCTGTTTCCTAAAATACTTCATAAGCTAAGTAAGAGTAAAAAGCATGGCCCTGACTCATGTATGTCCAGCTCCGAGCAATACATCTAATGGGAGGCACCCATCAAGAACCATTTTGGGGATGTACATAGACCATTTATCCTTTGCTACCAACTAAAATGTATGATGTGCCCTCTCTAAAACCAAACTCACTGACATCGAGTCAATTCAGACTTATAGCAACCTTATATGACCCCAGTGGGTTTCCATGGTGCAAATTTTTACAAGAGCAGTCAGCTTTGTCATTCTCCCTCAGTAAGGCTGGTGGTTTCAAACTGCTGACTTTGTGGTTAGCAGCCCAATGCATAATCCACTACACCACCAGGGCTCCTTGATGTACCTTCTGAGACTTATTATATCAGGGTCTCTCTAGAAAACCATATCGATACAAGTTAAATCAAACTGCATATTAGATAGTTAGAGACCTGATTTTAATCAATTCAGACAGTTCTGTTCCATGTCATCTCTGACCTCAATTGAAGATGGAGGGCTTACATCTTCCTCAAACACTAGCCACCAGTCCTGGATCAGTTCTCTCACAAATTAAAGGGATCAATCAGTTCTAGAATGCCAAGTCTGCCTAGGATTTCAGATATCAGCCTCAGGCTTGGGGTCTCCACCATACCTTCATCACTTTGGACACGCTGGCTACCCCATCAGTATGCTAGCCAGAGATCTGTGGTTCCTCTTCAGTGCTGACCTGCTGACTCCTACTACTACCTTGAGTTCAATAACTCACTGGAATAACTCAGAACTCAGGAAATGCTATACTTAGGATTATATTTTTATTGGAATGAAAAGGATCCAAATGAAAAGACACGTAGCATGAGGTCTAGAATTCCCAATGCAAAGCTTCCATGTCCTAAAGGAATTATTACCTTTCCAAACACCAATATCGTTCACTAACCAGGAAGCCCAGGGAGGTTCTAAGTGTTAAGCTTTCATTGGGGCCCCACTGCAAAGCATGATTGACTGAACTTAACGTCCAGATCCCCATCACCCCGAGTTTGGGCTGGTAACACATGGTGGGAATATCTGGCCTAGCCAGTCCAAACCCAGGAAGAGTTACTTCATTAGAAAATCTGTTAGGCAGGTGTGGTCTAGAACACTTTTCAAAGGCACTTGAATCACTGGGAAAACCGCCAAAGTGTTAGATGACATCACTCAGGAACCAAAGACAAAAGGCAAATTCTTTGGATACAATTAACTGTAAACCCCACAACTAAATAAACTCTTTATTCTCCTACCTCATTCCCATCACGCATTCATAAAGGAAGATGATTCCACCTTTCTGATGTGGTCGAAGATGACATACAAGGTGAGGGTCTGCCACTACATCCACAACAGGGCAGCAGTTCTTATTGAACATCCACTGGTGGTTCTTGTTTGGCCGTGGCATAACTAGGGAATCTTAGGGGGAAAGTAAGTATAAAAGTGAAATGTATTATAATTTCACTTTGTCAGCAACTACTTTATCTCACTTTAATTACTTATAAAATTATTTGCTATGATTGGTAGCCAGAAAGTATTTGGAATTAAGAAGCAATAACACTAAGAGTAAATAGTTTTTAAAAGAAAAAAATGTTTTATTCATACAAAGAGTGTTCCAAACTCCATATACCCCAAAGTGCTTCAAAATCATTAGAATTCACTATTGTCTAATAAGGAATTCAGTCAGCCACAAATTCAATAGTTCAGTGTTCAGGACATAGAAAAAGTGTTTCCAACTGAAAGCACAGGTTGGAATGCTGCCAAGATGTATTTGCCAATGCTCAGAGCTTCTCACTTTCATAAAGGATCCCCAAACTTCACAGAAAGGCTTCCTTTATTTTCAGCTATACCCATTAACAATGGCCATTACCGCTATTAATCAAAAGAATTGGGAAAGGATGTCAAATTTTCAATGGACTTGGCCATCATTATTTGCTCAAAGTTCATGAATACTGCATTCAGTGATGTTAAATTCCTGAACCTTTCAAAGAAGCATAAAGTAACTGTCAAATAATAATATAGTCCGGTAGAAATATGCTTACATAGTTTAAAGATCTCCTAAAAGTATCACCCCCCAAAAAAGCAAATTCAGATATAGTTAGAAAGTAGGTCTCAAGTGAAAAATCTGAAGTCAGATAACTAACACATGAAATGGGTTATTTTATGTTACATTTAAATATATTTTCATAAACACATCACAAATGACAATTAAATTAGATAAAAGCTAAATAATCAAAAATAAAAAGACAAAGAGTTGAGAATGGGAATACAAAGAAATAGGTTCCTGTGGATTAAATAACGTATTCATCATTGAGAAGCTACCTAAATGCAGGAATGCACTGGCTCATATTTACCTCCTAAGTCCAGGAATGCACTGGCTCATACTCACACCAGAGGACATGGTTTTCAAAGAGCATCTATTTTTCAGTCCCTGGTATGTAGAAGCTTGTTGTGGTTGTTGTTAGGAGCCCTCAAGTTGATTTTCAACTCATAGAACCCATGTAGCAGAGTAAAACTGACCCATAGGGTTGTCTTGACTCTAACGATTAAATACATCCATACAGCGGCTCCAACAATGGACTCAAACTCCAAAAACTGTGTGGACGGCACAGGACCTGGCAGTGATTCCTTCTGTTGCACACAGGGTGGATATGAGTCGGAATTAACTAGCAGGTCATAACAAGAACAACAAATCTTTACAAAAATAGTTCTCCAGGCCTTTCTCCTAGGATGCTGCTGGGTGGGTTCAGGCTGCTAGCCTTTTGTTTACCAACCTGCAACTGAACGACTGCCCCAGCAGACACCTCACACACCTCCCTGCCTGCCATCAAGATGGAAAAGTCAGCCTTTATCCTCTGTTTTTATTGGTGATTAGCCAGGAGCAAAGCAAATGTGTACTTTTGGTGAATTTCTAAACAAGAAATGGTCCTACTTCTTATCTTTTAAAAAGAACAAAATGGAAGAAGAGAAAACAGATGGAGAACATATATGCTGTTCAAGAATGTTCTTTAACAAAGGACCTGTCTTCAAGAGCCACAGGGTAAGCCCTTTAACAAAGTGTCCATCTGCAAGAAATATAAACCTATTTAAACACATGGCAATGCACATCAATTAATATTTTAAGAGGTATATACACAAAAATATGTACACATACATATAAACATATATCCACATATGCGCATGTATATACTTATATAAATAAAATGTGAAAATGATCAAAATAAAATTTTTCATTCACATAGTCAGAGGATAAATTAGAGGAGGAGGGTTGTTAAAACAGTTGATGAGAGAAACAAACTATCTAGATAAAATGAGAGAAAAATCAAAAGCATATGCTTCTATTCTCTATACTTCAATTAAGTCTCTAGAGTAAGATAATAGCATAGAAATAGGAATTTCACATTTTAAAGTTTTGGCCTAATTGCGACATTGACTGAATTTAGTTTAAGTCACTTCATCTTTCTGGGCTTCAATTTCCTCAAATGCAAAGTGAAGAAACTGATCTATCTGATTTCAAAATCCCCTTTATCTCAAAATTCCAATGCTTATATGATATTTGCAACAGAGAACAACACTTCATTCTGGTCCTTTATATATTTTAATACTTATACTATGAAAGTAGTAGTACTATCCACCAACTTCCAAATGTACTACGTGAAGTTTAATCCAGCAGATGCACAGCTCTGTAATGAAAGGTTTAGCTCTGGGCACAACACACCAAGGGCACTCCTGGCCACTTCTAGAAAATACCTACACTAGGTAAATGCAAGCAGACAAAAGTGGATTAGTGGCTACCAGGAGCTGGGGAGAAGGAAAATGAGTTATCACGGGGCGCTAGGTTTCTGTTTGGGATATTAAAAAACTTTAGGAAATCGATAATGGTGATGGTTGTAGACTGTGGTATGATTACAATTAATGTCACTAAGTTGTACATGTGAAATGGTCAAATTAGAAATTGTGTTAAATATGTATTCTTTACTATAATGAAATTTCAAACAAACAAAAAAGGGATGTACCATTTCTTGGGTAAGCAAACATTACAAATTACAAAATTCAAAATTAGTCATGCATGTGAAAAACAGGAGCCCTGGGGGCAGTGGCTACGAGTCAGCTACTAGCCGCAGAGCAGCAGTTTGAACCCACCAGTCAACTCTGAGGGAGAAGTCGGCTTCCACAAAGATTACAGCTTCAGAAACCCTGCCGAGCAGTTCTACTCTGTCCTGTAGGGTCACTATGATTTAGAATCGACATACTCAATGGCAATGAGTTTTTCATAGCAAGGACATGTCACTGGTTTAACAATGAGTGTAGTGCTTCTCTTCTACTTCCTACTTGTTTGCTTAGTGCCTGAGTCTTCAAAGCTCTCAAGCAGCCACCCCAGAGACAACAAACAGTCTCCATTCACCTGCAGCAATAGAGGAAAAGAAGGGTGAGGAACTGGAAGGGAAGGGAATGTCTGGCTAATAGCTTCCACAGACAACTGCCTCCTTTCCCATAAGACAAGAAGAACTGTGCGTGCCCAGCTAGTATCAACATTTTGATCAAAGATTCTATACAATAATCCTGATTAAAAGAGGGGAAATACTGAGCAGAATTTTAATTTCTAATGGAATGTAGATTTTCTAGAACTATAAAGGCTAGATGAACCCCTGAAATTTTGGCCAGGAGATATCTTTAACCCTTAAACCAAAAATATTGCCTGAAGTCTCCTTAAAACCAAACAGCTCAGCTTAAGTAATAAAGAATGTCTGCGTTAACATTGTGCTTTCTTAAAACCGTCTCTATGGAATCATATTGACAACAGCACTCACAGGATTAGGTAAGAACCTTAGTGGGCAGAGAGTTTATGCTCACAGGAGAGAGGGACACATCTGAACAGGAAGGTGGGGATAGCCGTAAGACGTGAGGAATGTAATCACTGTAGAACATGCGTACACACAGAAACCATGAATTAGTCTGTGTTCTGATATGCGTGTTCTCACCAACAGCACTGCACTAAAGTAAATTATCAAAGTAACTAAATGAACAACCTTTGAAAATTTGAATTCATTACATGACATCTCACCACTCAGTATTTTTACTATACTAATCCATGTGATCAAATCAGTGAGTCATCAAACAGGAGACACTAGGATAAGCCAAAAGGTATTGCTACTAGGGTTCCAGCTCATATGTGGTTTTTTTCTAAAATGTGTTTAAACAGGTCTCTGCAATCAGTGGATCACTGCAGACAAGTTCTCTCAGTAATACAACTTGTATCAGCCTCCTTAACCCAAAACCCATAGTAGCAGTCTCTCTTGATTCATGGTGACCCTGTAGTCTCCTTACCCTAAGGTTATCTTTTTCAAAAAGGATTCAATCAAAAGAGTACCTTCCGAGGAGGTCTGATGGTCTAGGTAAATAGAAGGTAGATAGGTCAGCTCAGAAAGGTACAGTGATTTTAACTGAAAACTACATTAGTAAAAAAAAGAAAAAATCTACATTAGTGGGGGAAAAGCCAGGAAAACTGTTCAGAGGTTTGTTTGTTTTTTCCATCAGGACAATGCACCTGCTTTGAGGGTGGCAAGAGCTACCCTAGGAGAATTTCAATGGGAAATCTTGCCTTGTGCACCCTACAGCCTTGATCTTGACCCTTCGGGCTTTGTTCTGTTACCCAAAACTGAAAAAAAATTCGAGATGCCAAAATTGCCTTTTTCATGTGGAGTACACCAAAGTAGGAAGAATTTTTTGGAGAAGGGTTACAGAGAGGAACACACTGCCTTCAACAGTGTATAGACCTACTACAAGGAAAACAGTAGCACTAATGAAGTACGAGAAGAATATTCAAAGTACCGTGAACTGCCAGAAGAACAGATACATCTTATGGATTGTGATAAGAGTTGTATGAGCCCCTAATAAAACGATGTTATAAAAAAAAAAAAGAACAGATACATCTGTTTTAGAAGAAGTACAGGCAGAAGGTTTGTTAGAAATGAAGATGGTAAGACTTTTTCTTGTGTACATCAGCTATCTTATCAGGAAAGACCCGTTCCTGGAAAAGGACAGCATGCTTGTAAAGTGGATTGATAACTGCAACAATGGGCTCAACCAAGCTGCTTGTGAGGATGGTACGGGATCAGGCAGTTTCCTTCGTTGTGCATAGGGTTGCTATGAGTTGGAACCAATGGCGCCTGACAACAGTAAAGTGCGTATACCTTAGAGTAAGTGACAGTGGGAACCAATGAAAACATTCAGAAGGGTTAGGACAAGAGGGATGGAGACAGGAACCACTGGGAAGAGATGGGATGGGTGATGTTACACTGAGAAGAATGGAAAGAATGAGATGAAACAGAACGTTTACAATTTACTTAAAATAAAACTTAAGATCTACTCTGCAAAATTTACCCATTTCACAATAAAAAGGGTTTTTTAATATATAGACTTAGGTGGAAGCTATGTAAAGAAAAAAATAGCTTTACATTTTTATATTTTAATATTTTTGTTTAATGAACATGGCAATGATTTTATAGCAATACTTTTTGACTTACCCTCTTGTAAGCATAATCCTGTTTCTTTAAATGTATTCACTTTACTTCCTACTAAAGATGCCAGATTTTATTCAAAATGTGTATACAATCCATCTATAGTTTATACATTTTCCCTTCAAAACATGAATACTGAATATTATATTCTTAAGATTATAAATATACATATGAAACAGCTCTCAAACAATGTTACATAACTTCAGCATTATCACTTAGGTAAAATATATCTGGAGAATTATGTATATTTCCAACCGAATACTTTAAAACAAAATTCAAACTTCAAGTTTGCCTACTAAAAGTCTTTTAAAAGCAAAGACAGAATATTCAACTTATTTGTAAACTCTTACTTGGTGCATGTGGGTCATGGCGTGGTTTACAATTTTGGAATTCATTCTGTGTATGTGCCTTTGAGTCTGGTTTGCCGACACTTTTGAAAGGGATAGAGAAACACTTCTTGGCAGCCTGAAAAGATGAGACAGTAGGGCTTCCTACTCCACGCTGAAAACATTTGCCACTGTCAAAGTCGTCTGGAGAGATTATACCCATGACTTCTATTTCTTTTCCACCAATCACTAGCGTTTGACCTTCATCAATCTTTTCAAGATCTTTGACTTTATATCCAATGCCTTTAAATGAAGAGGAGGAAAAGAGTTAATTTACTAACACTCACCTCTAAGATTAATTACCATAGTTACCTTTCCTTATTATTATCTCAACTATAAGAAATGAAAACTAGGTTTTGAATGTGAATAGTCACTAGCTAGGGTAAGGACATAACTTATCATCTTAGTTTTTTAAAAATCCTAAAACTCAGACAAGCTTAAGAAAAAGCAAAACTTGTGTTTTAAATTGAAAATATTAGCTTATTCTATTCTTATAGTTTTAGCCTATTCTAATAGTGTTGCATCTTGTGTGTGGAAAATCAAGCCAAGAAAAGAGTCTGGCAAGCTGCATGGAGTCCTTCATCTTTTTGTGAACAAATTGGAGAAACACCCTGGCATCTGCATTTCCACTTAGGAAGAGCTGGAAATATGAAGGAGGCTCAAGAGTAGCAATTGCTACCACAACCACTCCTTCACTGTTCCACATGAGATAGCAAAGATAGAATACAGTTGTGTCAGGAGGCAGAGCTACTCCAAGGTCTGTCTCTTTAAATGAAAGGGAAATCATTTATCATTTTAAGTTTATTTAAATTAAATCAACAGACAGTGATTACGCATTGCTATGGGTAAGATGCTGAGGGAATGTAAATATGAGTGAGTCGGTCACTGTCTGCACTACATGAGCTTATTAACCACTTAAATGACAGAATTTTTTTTCCTGTGCACATTTATCTTATAAGGAGCCCTAGAGGTGTAGTCGGTTATTCGTTTGGCTGCGAGCTGCAGGATCAGCAGTTTAACGTCACCAGCCACTCTGAGGAAGAAAGAGGAGACTTTCTGCACTCATAAAGTCCTACAGCCTCCAAAAGCCCAGGGAGCAGTTCTACTCTGCTCTCTAGGGTCCTTAGGAGTTGGAATCCACTTGAGAGCAGTGAGCTGTAGTTTGGATGCACAGATAATACATCATTAGGAAGGGCAGGAACTGGGTATATCAAAAACCTTTTTAAAATCTCTACATAAACTAAAAAATTATCACATTTTTAAAAATATGACTCTCTTCAAAGGTTGGGAAAGAGTCACAATTTGTCTTGCTAAAAACTCAAAACCAAACAAACAAACTCACTGCCATCAAGTCGATGCTGACTCCTACAAGACAGGGCAGAACTGCCCCGGTGAGGTTCCGAGCCTGTGACTCTTCACAGGAGAGCCTTGTCTGTCTCCCTTGGAAAGGCTGGTGGTTTTGAACCGCTGACCACGACACTGCCCTGCTAAAATTAGGCTGAATCTTTGCCAATCTATAAGTAGTGTATATTATTAAATTATTTATAGTGGAACATGTTTTTCATTTTAACACTATAATTTAGGGACAAATTATTTAGCCAGTGTTTCTAAATGTCACTGCCCATTCCTCTAGGGCCAGACTACTTCCTCAATGGTTCAGTGGTCTGCACCTGCACAAAATAATAAAGACTAGTTTCATCTTCAGACAGAATTCAACTATTGTTCACCTGCTTTACACAGAAATAGGATATTAAGAGTAATCTTTTAGTTTTATGGTACTTTTAGAAGTTTCTCCAACTCCAGCGTCTCTCATTTCACTCTACCCCAGTGGAGGAGTGACTCAAGGATTTCTACATCTCCATCAGACACTTATAACTCTCAAACTTGGTTTTTGTTTTTCCCTTTTCTTCTTTTTGGACATTTTATAAGGATGGCCAATTTAGCTTCACTGCATCAGCAACTTCGGCAGTATAGCCCTCAACTATTTTAGCTGGCAAATATTGAACGTGCTGGAGAAGAATCTGAAAGTATCATAGGCTGCCAAAAGAACCAATGAATCTGTCCTGGAAGAAATACAACCAGAATGCTCCTTAGATGCAAAGATGGCAAGACTTCATCTCAGGTACTTTGGACATCTTATTAAGAGAAACCGGTCCTGGAAAAAGACACCATGGTTGGTGAAGTAGAGGGGCACTGGAAAAGATGAAGATCCTCAAAGAGATGGATTGACACAGTGGCTTCAACAGTGAGGTCATAAATAACAATTGTGAAGATAGTAGATCATTTCATTTGCAGGAAAAAATGAAACCACAGGAAGGGATTTGCCTCAGTGAGCTAGCATGTAAGATTGTCAGTTTGATGAAATATCGCAAGGTAATTTTTTATCATATAGTTTAGACATAAAAATCACTTAAAGAACATTTTAATCTGTCCATTTAGAAAATCTCATTATATTTTAATTTGTGAAACCAGAGATACACACTAATTCCCACACCAGACCCATCAGGTTAATATCACAAGACCTTTTCCAATGTCTTTGCCTTCCAAATCCTTTAATGTAAGTGACCTGCCCTTTACAATAAGAACAGCATCACCTTCCCACTTCTTGTGTTTTTTCTTTGAAGCCTTACACCAAACAACATTGAAATATTTAACGAGATTATCAGGTTCCTTTTCTTTTGCCTTGAACGCTGTCACTTCTGTTGGGGCTGGATGAACTAAAATGAAAAAGAAAAAATTCATTTTTAAAGATGACTTTAATATTAAAGTAGTAATTTCATTCAAATGAAAATTCAGGCACATGTAATTAATGCCACCAAATTATACACTTAAAGAACAGTTTTAAAGGCAAGAGAGACTTTAAAAATAAAGATAAGAAAATGAGATGTGTTAACAATAAGTATGAAAGAATAACTAATCAGACTCATTAGTAATGCCTAAACTGAGAACTCTAAACGCCAGGTGCTAGTATTATCATAAGCATACAGTGAATATAAACCTCTTACAGTCAGCTTAACTAGAGCAATAATCACGATACACAACTTCAGACTCTAGAACTAAAGATAACACCTCAAAACCTATAGCATCTAAAACCTGCATAATCATGTATTTTGTACAAACAACTGATTTAAATAACAGTAATATTTTAAGATGAGGAAAGGTAAAACAAGATTACAAAATTCTTTGAGAGAAAAACTTGACACTCTTCAAGTAAGAACAAAAACAGCAAAGTATGAATGAGATCAAATTTCATCAAAATACTTTTGTCCGTCTAGTTGAAGAGTAATAAGATTGGGCCACTTACTTAGAAAATTCATCATTCTAATAAAAAGAAATTTCTTCTTACAGAAAGAAGTCTGTAATTTCCTCAAAAACTTTTCCTTGTATCTTTATAAAAATACATCTAGCCAGTATTACACAGAAAATGCCCCAGCAGGAAAACTAACTTAGTAGGAAAACTAATCTATGGAAAGGGATGAAAAGTAGTTGAACTAGTGAATTCTATGATATATGAATTTATATGCCAATATTTTTTTTTAAATAGTTGCTCTAATATGAGCAAAATGACCAAAAAATACAGACTGAGAAGAACTTGTTAGGAGTATAGATTACCTAGGTATATAAAATTAACAAAAATGAACAAACTACACAAATTTTCAGAAGCAACACCCACTGCCATAGAATGTATTGTGACTCATACTGTCCCTTTAGGAAGGAGGAAAATTGCCTCTGTGGGTTTCCAATGCTGTAAATATTCACAGGAGCAGAAAGCTTCATTTTCCTCCCGAGAAGGGCTGGGGCTAGAACTGCTGACCTTATGGTTAGGTACCCAGCTCGTAACCCACTACATATACATTTTCTTACATACAAACTATAAAAATATAAAACGCAATAAACAAAACCAAAAGCAGTAGCAGGGTAGATTGAAAAACATGTGTCAAATATTCTAAAGAATGGCATATTTTAGTGTTTTGAAGTAAAAACACAAAACTATTCATGTACTGATTTTTGTGTGAACATGTACCTTGATCAATTTAGTAGGTGAAAATGGTATCTAATTCCATTGTAATCTGAATCTCATTGTGATAAGACTTTCTAACAATATATTTATATTTCCTCTTTACTTTATTCCCCTAATTTCATTTTATATTTACAGGATTCTTGTTTACACTAAATACTTAATCGATCTGATGTAAAAACCCCAACATTCATTCACTTAACAATTTATCAGCTTCTCAATCTTGACAGTCTAAACTGACTGTTAACCTGGTACTTACTTTAAAATTTCATTCAAGTTTCTAAATAGAAAATAGTCATAAGAACTTGAGTTACCAAGAAATATTGTGAAAACTGAATGCATAAATACTACTAAATTTTAAATATTTAAAATGTTAATAAAATATTTGACACATTAAGTGTTGATGTTGCTAGGAGAATCAAGAATCCATTTATATCTATCCTTAATAGAAAGTTTTTACTAAGATCTTAAGTTGTTATATGGTTGTAAGTAAAGGTCATTTAAATACTCCCACCAAAATCATCCCCCCTCCAGAGGACAAAAAACAAAAGAATATAGTTCATTTTGGCAACTTACAAAAATATAACAGACTGAAATGTACCAGGCTAAAATAAACCCATTCACTTAAACAAGTAATTACTAAACACGACAGTAGATTCACTACTTCTGTCAGTTTGTCATACCGCAGTGACTTGCACGTTGCTGTGATGTTGGAAGCTATGTCACCAGTATTTTGAATACCAGCAGTGTCACCCATAGTGAACAGGTTTCAGTGGCGCTTCCAGAATATGAAGAGATGGCAAAGCAATAGGCAGTCCGCTCACAGGAATAGCCACTGAAACCTTCGTGAATACCAAGGAACACTGTCAGATATAGTGCTGGAAGATGAGCCCCTCACATTGTAAGGCACTCAAAATTTGACTGGGAAAGAGCTCTCTCCATAAAGTAGAGTTGGCCATAATGAAGTGGATGAGTAAATTTTTGGTGACCTACATTTGCTAATGGAGTATGGCTCAAAACGAGAACAGCTACAAACATCCTTTAATAAAAACATGAGATGTATGTGAATCTAGAAAAACTGGAGTCATGAGAAATCAAATGGAAAGCATACACATCAATATCCTACACAATAGTGAGTTGAAATAAGCAGGTATTGGACATTTTGAATCAGACAATCAAAGGGTTTACAAGGTCATGATGGTAAATTCAAGAAGAATGGCACTGCATTCATCATCAAAGAGAACATCTCAAGCTCTACCTTGAAGTACAATGCTGTCGGTGATAGGATAATATCTACATGCCTATAAGGAAGTCAGTCAATACAACTTTATTGCAAACTTATGCAACAACCACTAAAGCTAATGCTATGAGAAATTGAAGAATTCTACCAACTTCTTCAGTCTGAAATTGAAGAAACATGCAATCGAGGCTGAATTAATTAACAATTGGAATGCAAAAGTTGGAGAAAATGGCCTTGGTGATAGAAAGGAAACTGAAGATCCCTCTGTAGAATTTTGCAGGACCTATGACTTCTTCATTGCAAACATCTTTTTCTTCAACAACATAAACAATGAACTTGCCAGAGGAAATACACAGTAATCAAATTCACAACATCTGCAAGAAGAGATGATGGAAGAGCTCAAAATTAGTAACTAAAACCAGGTCAAGGGCTGACTGTGAAACAGACCATCACTTGCTCTTTTATAAATTCAGGTTGAAGTTGTAGAAAGTTAAAGCAAGTCCACAGAGCAAAAATAACCTTGAGTATGCCCTCAACACAAGAACACTTTGCTCTAATAGCCTGGCATTCCATGAAGCTCACCTTCCCAACACGATTGCTGAAGACAAAATGGGTGCATAGCAAATGTGGTGAAGAAATCTGATGGTGCCCAGCTATCAAAAGATATAGCCAGGGGTATTAAAGGATTGAAGATAAACAAGCGGTCTTCTAACTGAGAAGTAACAAAGCACACATGGAAGAAGCACACCAGCCTGTGTGATCATGAGATGTCGATGGGATCAGGTATCAGGCATCAAAGAACAAAAAAAGCATATCATTGTGAATGAGGGGGAATGCAGAGTGGGGACCCAAAGCCCATCTGTAGGAAACTAGACATTCCCCTTACAGAAGGGTCATGGAGAGAAGTCGGGGTGCTGTATAGCACCGATTAAACATACAACTTTCCTCTAGTTCCTTAATGTTTCCTCCCCTCTACTATCATGATCCCAATTCTACCTTA